GCTTCGGAGGACTGTCCGCATCCCCCGCCGCAGCAGACGGCAGGTATGACAGGCCCTGCGCCTTCCTCTTGCCCTGTGGAATATCCTTCCCTTCATCCTCCTCCCTGTCTTCTCTCTTCTCAACCCTCCCCATAAGTGACTGTGGGGCAGTTCCTAATGAAAGTAAATTGTGGCAACAGGAGCAGCCAAACTGTTGCTCAGATTCCTGAGACCCGCAGATGGGAACCCTCCTCGTCCTCCTCCTGGAGGAGCCTTTTGGTTGTCCCCTCTCTGCAGTCCCCTCTCTGACCCTGCTCACTTGGTGTGTTTGGCCCTTGCTCCTCTCGGGTCCACCCCGCAGTTTTGCAGCGTGTGACCCCTTTTCCTTTTTGCTCCCTGTAGCTATTCCTACCCCTGGAGCCCTTCCCAGGACCCTTTTCTGGTCCAGGAGATCTTGCTGAATTAAGCTACAAGCTGGCTCCGTGCTAACGAACGACGGCTCTCGAACGGGCTAAGCCTTAGTGGCAGGAGGGGGGGGCGGGGGGGTCCGGCGTCCCTGGCGTCCCTGGGTCCCCGACACACACGTAGCATCGGTGCGGGTGTCTCTCTGTGTCCCTCCGCAGGTCTTATCGTCCTGGCTGCCATCACTCCTGAGTCATCTTTGGATTCGGGCCACGAAACCAACTCGTCGGAACTGACGGATGTCTCCGAGATGGTCTCCGCTATGAAGCAGCACCAGAACGCAGCCTACTTCCTAGCTCAGCACATCAGCAAGGAGAACCTCCTGGCGAGGAAGGACTTGCCTTTCCGCATCCAGAGCTGCGCTGCCCAAGCCGTGCTCGCCTCCCCCTACGCCCTCGGCCACCAGGAGCTGAACCCTTCGCTGAAGCCAGATTGCTCCCACCAAAGCCCCAGTCTTAGCAATTGCAAGAGCAAACAGGAGCAGCAGCCGGTGGAGCGGAGCTGCCCCGTGGCCCTGCAGCCAGCGCTGTCCCCTCAGCTCAGTGAGCAGAGCAGGGCGGCTTCAGGGCCACCCTCTGAGTGCAAAGGGACCGGCCACACGAGAGCCGCCTTTGAGGTATCTCTGCACCCCGCAGCAGCCTCGAGCGGGGAGCAGGCCCAGGATTCACGAGAGACGATGCCCAAAGAGGCCCGGCCGAGCCCCAGGCTCCTCTTGGACCAGAAAAGTGGGATAAGCCCAGCCTTCATTGCAGCCGCTCTGCAGCAAGTGGCAAATGCGAAAGGCTCCGCTTCCCAAGCGGCGGCAGCTCCAAAAGAAGACAAGAACATCGACGGGACCAGCGGCTTTGCGTCCTCCGGCGGCAGGTCTGTGAAACCTAAAGGAGGGCAGCAAGTTGAAGACACGTTGTGCAACTGTCAGCAGCAGCAGCACAGCGAAGCCTCTGCAAGTCCTAAGGAAGCTCCTGGCAGCAGGGCTGAAACATCTCACCTTGCCTCAGTAGGGGAGGAAATGATGCCCAGTAAGACTTTTCCCTCTAAAAGCTACCAGCCAAAAGTGAGCAGGGATCCCCTAGGAAAAGCTCCAAGTGGAGAGCAGGCTCAGAAGGCAGAGGGGGAAGCCACAAGCCTTGTCTTTCCAAGACACGTGGCTCCTCCAAACCCAGGGGAGAAAATGCAGCAGGAAAACTCAGTCAAAAGTTTCAAAGCTGAGAGTGGCTGTCTGCACTCTCCATCCCTTGGCAGCACTTTCAGGAGCACCAGTGAGGATCCCAAAGGACCGATCCAGCTGGTGCCCAGGCCCGAGGGCCTGCAGATCAGCACTGTGCCTTCCAAAAAAGCAGAAAAAGTCCTGGAGATGACCCAGCAAGCTGCTGATGTCCCAGCTAAACCCAAAGCTCCCAAAGGTCCCTTCAGGTTGAGGAACCTCTTCTCTGCAACGTTTCCGACGCGGCTGAAGAAGGAGACGGACGAGCGGCAGGCCCAGCTGCAGAAGGTGAAGCAGTACGAGCTGGAGTTCCTCGAAGAGCTGCTCAAGCCCAAGGGCAAGGGCGACCTGCCACCCCAGGAGTATCTGCAGCCTCCTGCTCCCGGGCGCTGCAGCTGCCAGCTGAGGAGCAGCCCGGTGCAGAAGGTCCCCGGCATGTCCCGGGAGCAACGGCGCAGCTGTGACTGCAAGCGGATGTGCAGGGGGGTGAGGCCACCCTCTAACCAGCTGGTGATGCCAGAACTGGAGAGGCGAGGGAGGGAGAAAGCTCCGGACGACCAAAAGCAGGTAGAGGCAATTAGGTTGACAAGCATGAGCAGCCCGTCCACAGGCAAGCGGATACGATCGACAAGTTTGGAGTCCAGAGATTACCGGTCAGATCCCGAGAACGGCGTGTCGTGCTTGAGCACGTGCGCTTCCCGGGGGGAATGCATGGGTGCTCCCCACTACAAGAAGCTCCTGCGTCGCTACAGCGTCAGTGAAATAGATAAGACTGACAGGACATCTCTCTCCTCAGAGATCTACCAGAACATCTACACCGTGAAGCAGAAAGGCCTCCAGAAGGAGTCTGAACCCAGCATCCACGGCTCTGTTCTGAAAAGCAAAATCCAGGAAGCCTCTGGAGTGGCTGATCCATCTTATGTCCAAATAGCACAGGAGAAAAAGAACCAGAAAGGCTCCGCGGTGTTCTCTGTGCAGGAGGAGATGTATCCGAGTCCTGCTGGGCTGCGAGATGAAGATATGGAGGATGAGAAGTGCTGCTCCATCCGGTACTGCTTCTACTACAGGAAATGCGATGTTGCGGATGATGGGAGCGAGAAGGATGAGCTGTCCTATTCCATCCCCATGCAGATACTCCCGGGAATGAAGCTGGACAACCAGATGGTCCCGGTCATGAGCAGGACCCTTCAGGTTCTAGACGCAACGGCCTGCAGCAGTCCCAATGGTAGTCAAACCCAGGAAATAGATCTAAGGTCCTCCACTTTTGAAGGGAGCCTGGCAAAAATCAACACCCTTCGCGGCCATGCCTACAGCTTGCCCAATGGGTTCCTGCAGGTGCAGCTGGACACCAACGAGCTCCTGATGATCCTGAGGCAGTGTGTGGTGAGCCCTGAGGTGAGGGACTGCAAGCCCTACATCTCCCAGCTGGCTGAATACAAGCAGGAGCTGGCGCTCAAGTTCAAGGAGTTCCGGGCGTCCTGCCGCCGCGTGGCCGCCGTCGACAAGAGCCCCACTCACATGCTCTGCGCCATCACGAGCAGCTTCCAGGTGCTAAGCAGCCTCATCGAGACGTTCGTGAGGCTGGTGTACATCGTGCGCTCCGAGTCCCAGCGCCAAGAGCTGCTGGCCAAGGTGGAGGAGGTGGTGAGGAACTACACGTTCCTCCTGCGGGCCGCGGAGGAGTCCACGGCCCGCACGCTGAGCCATCAGCAGGCGGCCGAGCAGTTCGCGCACCAGTCGGCCACGGTCGCCACGGTCATGAGCACGCTCACACGCTCCCTGAAGACGCTCATCAATAAGTAAGCCGGCCAAGAAAGCCAACGAGCCCGTGTGTGCCAAGCCCTGTGCCCGTGGTCCTCATAGCACGGAGGTCTGATGAGGACGAGTGTCTGGAAAGCCCAGCTCTTGGCCATTCCGATGGTCAAGACCTTCTGGAAAGCCTTCATCTACTGGGGGGTTCCAATGGCCAAGACCTTCTTTCATCTCTACCGAGTGAATGGCGATGTTGGTGGAGCTTCCGAGGGGTCAATCCAGCCACTCCGCTTGCTCTCCCACGCCAGCTTCTCGGTGACTTTCCCAGGGAGACACAGCCACCCTGTCTCCACGCGGCCTTGGGTTCGTGCGGGGCCTCCCTCGTGCAAAGACCAGACACTGTCTCCCGCGGTCGCGGTGTGCCGGGCCGGTGCGTAGGGACTGAGCTGAGACCTCCCAGCTTCACTTGGGTCTAGTTCGGAGCCCAACCAGCGTCTTGCCACGTAAACAGCTCTTCAGCCTCCCCGGGGCCGACCCACAAACGCAGCGGCCAGAGGGCCCCTCCGAGGTGCTCTCCGGAGGCAGATCCCCAAGCCCTTCCCTCTTCCCTCTCCCTTTGCACTGCTAGAGGGGAAGGCGGCTCCGCGCTGCCCGGGGCCACCCGCCACGTCCCGAGGGAGCCGGGAGCCGTCTCCTGCCTCTGCTGCAGTGACTGCCATGAGAAGTGTTATTCAGTCCTGTGTGATGGATGTTTATTTGGATTATTTTTTGTTTGTTTGTTTTTTTACTTCCAGATGAATGGTAGACTGATTCCTCATTGTTTTTCCTCATACCCTGAGGTTCCTCTCCTCCTTCTCCTCCTCCTCCTCCCCAGTGTAGTTTCTAGACCTCATGATTCAGACCGCCTTAACTGGTGCTTCAGGGCACTTCCCCACCCTGCAGAATGGAGCGAGGAGCAAACGCAAGGTCACACATGCAGCCCGCGCCCCCGGGGACACCCCGTGGCTCCCAACGTCCCTGTGTCCATACGGGACATCACAGCATCCACTCGTGGGGCCAGATATTGGGAAAGAGAAGGGCTGCCCCGCTCGGCCCCGTGGCCGGCGGGCGCATGGAGCTCATGAGGGATCTCCATGGGTCACCTGCCATCTCCCGTATTTTCTTTTTTTTTTTTAATAGAAAACGCACATTCGGAATCTCTCTCGTTCTTCCGTAAGAGTTATGGAAATGCACAACGTGCTTTTAACGTGCGCATCCTCTTCCGAGTGCAATAACGTGCCCTGGCCCGCGGCCGCCCCGCGCGGGAGGCAGAGCGGATCCGCTCCGTGCACAGAGCACCCTCTTGCCTCCTGCTTTCAAGAACCATGTAGCAAATATCCAGCGGAATAGCCAGGCCGGATTGCAGTCCATGGTGGGAGAAGCCCGTGATGACGGCGAATGCTGACAGGGAGCTGTGTTCTGCTCCCAGGAATTATCTATTCAGAAACTACGAGTTTCCTTGAGCTCCCCATTACGCCTATATCATTCCTCCAAAAATCTCTCAGTCTAGTACAGAGGAAAATTTTTTTATTGTCTGTATATAGTATATATAAATAAAAAGATATATAAATTATATATATATATATACACAAATTTATGTCTTGTTTTACAAACAAGAAAGATTAAATATATCAATCTTAATATCCAAACTAGCATTTTGTGTGTGTTTTTTTTAACAATTTTGCAGAGGGAGAAGCACGGCCAGAGACAGCAGGACTCCCGCTTCCCTCCGCTTTCCTGGGAAGCCCATACACCAGCAGGGACACGTAGGAACAACACAAATCCATTCCTAGCTACAGGTGATGTTTCCAATATCCCCTTTCCTCCGGGGACATGTTTTGCCTGGCACGATGAATTCCCTGTTTATCAGAAGGAAGAGCACCCGTGTGTGTCCTCATCACACCTCGAAGCCTCCAGGAACATTGATGCAACACCAAAATCTGCGGAACGGGGTTGTTTTCTCCACGGGGTCGGATTGCGTCGGAAGCGGAGGCAGCCGCAGCCGAGACCGGCGCTTTCGCTGGGCCTCCGGGCTGGTTATTTTAATCTGCATCACACCATTTCCCGAGCCGAGATAAGTAACGATGCCTGACATCCGAGGCGACCAAACACCTATTTATAAAGCTGGGTGTGGATCAGAAAAACAGCAAAGCCGAGCGTTTCTCTTCCTGACATACAGATCCTGCAAACACTATTGACAGCAAGCAGTTTTATGAGCAATTTCAGCAGATATTTTTATTTTTTGTGAGTTCTCTTAGTACCATCTAGTGGGCAAGTAGCAGTCTGGCAGAAGGAATTAGTCCGTGGCAATACAGATATTATTTGTATAGCTCCCGAGCCAGGCGGATGCCCCTGTTTGAAAGGAGCAGCTGCATTAGCACCTATCAAAACGTATTCCCTGCTTTATTTTTATTGCACTCATCTTTTAGGCGTTGCCTCTCCGGGCTAGGTACTTGTAAGGTCTGCAGAAGGAAACAGGCCAAGTAAAATTCCCTAGTTTAAAATTTCTGAATGTCAGATTTAAAAAAAAAAAAAAAAAAAAAGGTTCATCACAGTTGCACAGTGTAGATAATTATGAATAAACTGTTTTTTTCCCCAGATCCAGGTCCCTTCTCACTGCCCCTTGGTTTATCTACCCGGGAGCAGCATTGCTCTTAGCTGGCATTCACCCTGCTTCAGTTGTCCCCAGAAGGTTACAGCAAAGTATGTGGTGCCCCAGCACCAAAATGCCCTTGCAATGGCCCTCAGGTGGCCTCCTGCCTTCCCTTAATCTTCTCCAAATTAATGTGCATTCCTGGGGAGTCCCGACTAGAGCTCTGTCCCTGGCCATGGATTAAAAAGGGGCAAAAATTGGGCCACTTTCGCTCCCTCTGATGCACATGCAGAAATCGTCAGACCCAAATTAATCCAGGAGGTGAAAATGAGCAAACCCGACGCTGTATTCCTGCTTGGATAAAGCTGCTCCTGTTGCTCCGGAGCATCGCCGGTTGTTCTCAGCCGGAGGGAACAACCGGGCACCATGTTTTTACAGCGTGTCAGCCAGGCGGCCCTAATCCCTGCAGCGGTGGCCGGTGTCCTGCCCCCCGGCCGGGGCCAGCCGAATAGCTGGGAGCCACTGATGCTTGCAGCGAGCCCCGGCGAGGTGACATCAAATATAAATGAGTAATGTCTCAGTTTTAGCACACAAAGGGCGCCCGAGTGAAACATCCCGGCAAATCCCCGGCGCGGGCAGCAGCGGCGGAGCTGGCAGCGGCGCCCGGGGCTTTCGGATGCAAAGGCGGCCAGGATAGACGGGCACGCCGGCTTAGTTAGATTTCCTCCCCGCATTCAGCCTGCCCAAAAGCAGACGGGCCGCGTGATGGGGAAGTGATTTCCGAAGGGCGCCTCGTTCCAAAGGCTCATCCCCGTGAAGCCGGACACGCGGCGGAGCAGCCGAGCGGAGCCGTTGCCATCAGCCAGAGCAAGTGTGAACAGAGAGGGGGTTTTGTCCTGCAGCTGGACTATCTCACTTTATAACCTCATTAAAAAGGGAAAAAAAACTGTTAAAAGTGGTGGAAACCCCAGCAGCACCTTTCTGCTCCACGCGCCAAGCACCTGCACGTGCTAAAGATGGAGGGGGCAAAGATTAACACTGTGCAGAGTGCCGAAAGGCTCTGCAAGACCCCACTTCCCAAAAGCACCTTGGAAATGCTCGGGAATCTGGTGTGATTAAGGAAAAGCCACTAGCGAACAACATTCCCTCCTGCCAGAGGGCCTGAGCAACATGTGCATGGACTGGGCTCTGCAGAAAGGCATGGATGAGCTTCGCTCCTAAATTCAACTCATCTGAAACAAATGGGAGACCTAAAATCAAGCGATTTTTCTCTGCAAAGGAAAGAGCAGGTCTCAGTACAGATCTGGAAGCAAGACATTCCTTATTCGATCCTAGCGGCTTTGATAGGAGCAGCGAGCGGGATTTATCTAAAAATAATCCCCGTGCAAAACGAGAGCGGCAGAGGGGCTGGCAGGAAAACAGGCGGCCGCCAGAAACGCTCCCGGGCTCCGGGCGAGCGTTTCCCCTGCGGCCACGGGGAATCCTGCAGCTTCCAAAACTGTCGAGCGAGCCCTGGCAAGGGGTGAGATCCAGAAACGTCACAAGCCCGAGCGGAGCCAGGCCCCGAGCGAGCCGCAACGGCAACGCGTTCGCGCGGTGAATTCGTGCGGCTAAAGGGCAAAAGCGGCAGTTGTGCTACTCACATCCAGCGCCGCTCACCAACAGCTACGCACAAGGCAAGGAGAAAGGAAAAAATGCTGCACAAGGCAAGGAAAAAGGAAAAAACCCTCTCCGCAACACACTCTCTGCATTAAAACAGGTCCTTGATTAAGCAACTGGCGGTAATGGAGTGGCAACTGTACGGAGGAATGTGCCCGGAGACCAAAAAAGCGCCAGTCTTGACATTACTCTGCAATTTGATAGAGTTAATGTGCTACCTAAACCTTCCTGGAAAATACCTGCTGAGGCCAGGAAACACAAAGGCGGTTCTGATTAAATAAACCCCGTAAATAAAAAGGGAGCTTTGCCGTTCATGTGCTTTCAGGACGTGAATGTCCTTGGGTGGACATTAATTTATTTCTTAATTCCCCAAATGTGTGAGAGCAGCGCTAACTATGGGCTAATTCTGACCAAAATTAACCTGTGCTTGCCCTCGGGCTAATGAAACTGAATTTCTTTATTGCGGGATGTGATTTATCCTGCTTGGCCCACAAGCCAAAGTGAGCAAGGCCCTTTCCTTGTCACCATCCACGCAGAAGAGATGATGTTTGGATCCAGCTTAATATTAACCCTTTAGTTAACCCGCATTCGCTCTCCTGAGCATCCTTGGACAGACAACCCGCATGACAGACGGATGGTTGGAGGAGCCCAGATAAACATCTCCCCGGCCAAAGGTGATTCTCCTTGTCCCCAGTGACACGGTAAATGGAAATACAGGTTGTCAATAGTGACCAAATTGCTGGGGAAGGCGATGGGGAAGCTTTAGGGACATGTTTAACCGAGCCCATGTTG